TGTTGGCATTCTGGAAGAGTTCTGCAGAAATCACTCTTGCTAATTTGGTTTTTCAGTAAAATACGATTATGATTTAAACCAAGAAACCCCTTTTTAACACCATGATAATCTGTAAATTTAAAGTCAACACAAACAGGAAGGCCATATATGCTTATCTATTTACAGAAGCTTCGTAAACAGTTCCAAACACTAAAAAAGTCTGGATCGCAGAAATTTGACTGGTTCTCATCGGATCTACGCAGTTCTGAAAGTTAACATTTGAACTCCCTATGGCCCCGCCGGCCTTTCTACAGAAACGCCCCTAAATCTGCTTTTCTTTTTTCTCGAAGTGGGAGACGCAGATTCTCTGAATAAGCTTGTTTTTTCACTAAATGAGAACATTACGTTTGTAGCAATTAGATTTAATAGAGTTTATAGTTTTGTTACGCTATAGTTAGAGATATGATAAATGACTTTGTAAGTTTAACTTTTTTAAATTTGTCTCAATTGTATTTTTTTCACATTTCAAATTAAAATTCAGCTAGCTACGTCAAAATAGGATAGTTAACAAACTAAAATAAGAAAGTACCAATGTATTATGCGAAGATTGAGCTTACGTGTTACATGGGACCTGTTCGCATGACTGTTTTTTATTAGGTCACCTGTGACCTATTGCTATCCGTTTTCGTCCGTCGTCGTGCGTCGTGTGTTAACATTTGAACATTTTCAGCTTCTCTGCAACCACTGAACCAATTTCAACCAAATTTGACACAAAAGCATCTATGGGTGAAAGGGAACAAAAATTGTGAATTTCATGATCCCTGCCCCCCTGGGGCCTGAGGGGTGGGGCCAAAACCACTAAAATTAATGCAATCTTTAAAATCTTCTTCTTTACTCCTGGACATCAAGCAGTCAAACTGTTTGCACGATTGTAATCAGCAATGAGTCCTCTACAAAAATTGTCTCTCTCTCTCTCTCTCTCTCTCTCTCTGAAATTCATGGCCCTGGGGTCAGGGGTTCTAGTGCTAGGGTGGGGCTAAATAAGTAGGTAGTGAAAATGCATTATTTCTTTGAAAATCTTCTTCTCTGCTCCTGGGTATTAAATAAACCAACTAAGTACATAGTTATGATGAGCAAGAGTGCCTCTACCAACATTGTGAATTTTATGGCCCTAGGGTCAGGGGTTCTGGTGTTAGGGCGGGGCTGTATTGATTATATAGTGAAAATACATGAATTCTTTGAAAATCTTCTTCTCAGCTCCTGGGTATTAAATAAACTAACTAAGTATATAGTTATGATGAGCAAGAGTGCCTATACCAAAATTGTGAATTTTATGGCCCCAGGGTCAGGGGTTCTTGTTTTAGGGTGGGGCTTTAATGATTATATAGTGAAATGCATGAATTCTTTGAACATCTTATCCTTTGCTCCTGGTTAATATGCTAATGATCTAATTACATATGTAAGGCCAGGAATTATTTCATTTTCAGTTTTACAGACCCTCCGCTCAAGGTTTTCAATTTTCAGGAAAAAATAAAACAATTTTTTTCTTTCCGATGTCAAATTTGAGTCGGGATCGAGATTTCAGATTTACGAACACGCACTTCCGGTTTTAAGATGAAACGGCGGGTAAATAAAGCTAGATCTGAGAAGATAGCTTGGTTTAGTGTAAAATTCGTCGATACGAGTGACATTCACCCGTTCAAAGGACAAATAAAATGCTGACGACTTTGTTGCACAATGACATGCTGGTGAGATAATTATGTATTCGTTTCAAAAGTATCTGTAAATTGTTTTCCTTCCCCAGGTTTTAAACTGCCCGTGGTAGTTATTGCATATTGCCAGCGACATTGTTTAGGTCTACGTTATAGCTTACAGTCTAAGCATCATTCTTCAGAAAAGGTTTACTTATGCATCAGATGTAATGAATAAAACTATGGGAGAAGTTAAGTCCATTTGAGGAAGAAATAAACAATAACCTGAAGAAATAAAAAAAATTCAACTATTAAAAGGCAAGAATATACAAATATATACAGGCATGTAGTATCATTTGTATCAGCCAGAAAAATTATTTTACACTTAATTGAAAAAATGTTCACCTTACTCCCCAATACTCCCTGTCTGTTTTATGATAGGAATTATAGTTTTAGGCACCAAGTAAATTTTAGAACAATGTCTACACATTCACCTAACATATATTAAAAATAAAGATATATTGAAAAAGACTTTTAAAGAATTAATTTTTTAAAATATATTTTGACCAACATCACAAAATTTATATAACTGGCCCAAACTGGCAGATGATGAAATAAGCAATTAAATGTTCTACTTTCCTATTTGTAAGCATTATGTGTCCAGTGGTAAGGAGCCTATTAGAATAGCATATGATAAAAAAAGAATGTACAAATGTTAATAATTGATTTATCAAAAAAAAATCTTATTTCCTTCTCCTTCGGGACTTTTTTATTCTCATGTTCATAACTAAACCTAAACATAAAAAAATGCTGGCCTTATAATGAAGAAATGGGCCTCTTTCAAAATAGATAATTTCAGGGCCGCTGGGTCAGGGGTACCAGGGGGGTACTTTGACTAAAAATAAATTATTGTTTTGAAATCTGCCCTTTGATAAGCAATGGTGCCTCTTTCAAAATTTGTGAATTTCATGGCTTTTGGATTAAAACACGAACCAAGTACAATCGCTGGAAAGTTGTTACATGATACTCAGGTGACCTATAAGGCCCGTGGGCCTCTTGTTCTAAAAGTACCAGAAAATGTACTGGGTATTTCAGCGGTCCTTCATCGACATTCTCGATTAAGGGTTCAGTATGACTGTTACGGTATCGCAAGGACAAAGGTGTCTTCATAGTCTAAACATGGTAGCACTGAGTGATTCAACCTGAAACAGGACCATAATACTCTAACAGGGTGATTGTGAAGCTTACGAGGCCCCGTTTGGAATTGTTAAAGCTACCACAATGTTCATGCCTCCCCCCTTCCAAAAATCCTATAAATCAGATAATGAGTTTGGTTTTATAACTTAATAGAATTATGTTTTGTGAATTTAAACATAAATTATTATTGTACTATGTGTTCTTTTGATTAAGAGACAAAAATGCAATAGAATCTACATGCACCAACGCTTTTGTTCCTATGCGGAAAACTGTTAAGACGAGGATTTTAAAGTAGCCAAATCTGCTTAAAAATTATGTTGAAAGGATTTTTCAGTGAGTGCCCTATTATTATTTTTTAAAAACATTATCACAGAGAAGAAAATCCTCTGGCTGACTCTCGAAGCTTTTTTTAACAGCTAAACTTGTCTTAATTGTGCCAGGTCTTTTTCCTAGCGGTCCCCTGCAGCCGGATCATCCTTACCTAGGGGCGCGTAAGTACACGAAACAAAAACAAGGACAGAGAACCAGGCTAGCTTCTTTTTTTCCCTTCTAGATGACATGATTTACCAAATTATTTTATTTTCTGATTCATTATTATTATATATGTAGATATGTTTGTTCTAAACAATGTTAGTCAATAACAAATCACTTTATTTAAATTGTTTATAACCTCAACTGATCACGAATTGATGTAGGGCATTTAATCGTCACAGACCGATCGATACAGATAGCTATGTTTTGTCAAATCAGTGCTATCTCTAATTAAAGTTCCCTTTATGACGTTTTTGTTTTGGTTTTGAACCAATGTACTTATAATATAAAATGAGAAAATTATCCCGAACAGATGAAATAGTGTAATGATGAGTCTTAAAACACTTTTTGAAAGCTCATAATTAGACCTAGCATCCAAAATTCCTTTATTTGTTCTTGAGTCAGCAAAAAGTAGAGTAAACATTTTACACTGTAAATAGAACTAACTGCAAATATATTTCCCAATGTAAAAAAAAAAAAATAGAGTGTAAACTTATAGGGTTAAATTGAAATTAAAAAACAGTTGAAACACGGAGGTAAATTGAAATATTTTCTGTTTTTGCATTATTTTTTGTCTTTCGGAAATTCTGCTATTCCAAACTCATCCTTGATTTCTATGTTGCATTGTAAATAAACTTCATATTTAAATCCTTTAAAACATTGAACCTTAATCCTCTAACTTGGTTCTAATCAAGATATTTATCGCATCAAGTGACCATGAATTGAGGTAGTGCATTTCATTGTCTACGATCTTTGGCATGTCTTTCGGAAATTCTGCTATTCCAAACTCATCCTTGATTTCTATGTTGCATTGTAAATAAATTTCATATTTAAATCCTTTAAAACATTGAACCTTAATCCTCTAACTTGGTTCTAATCAAGATAATTATCGCATCAAGTGACCATGAATTGAGGTAGTGCATTTCATTGTCTACGATCTTTGGCATAGTGTAGATACAGATTGTCACGACACCCTTTATTCTTTAACGTTGTGTAATTGTTCCATTCCGGATAGGGCGTAATATTGTTAAACAGCTAGGTCAATTTAAGACAGACAGAGAACAATGTACTTAAATTAATAACATGGGGACAACGTATTTCTTTTCTTTTACTTATTTGGTTTTACTTTTAGTTCAGGGATATGGTAAGTACATCTTGATGTACATTAAGAATATTAGTTGTAAAAATTACCGTTTATCTAAATTTGCTCAATGTCACTGAATCTTTGAATCGTTCGTCGCATTACTTGTGTTTTTCTCTCTCTTATATATATATAAATAATTATATTTTCAGTATAAATTGTGAATTTAATTTCGCATAATGGCCAAAACAACACTTTTCTTTCATTGATAATATTTTTAAATAGAACAGTTTGTCAGCGCAACTCCTCATAAACCGCTGCACAGAATTTCGTCAAACTTTGCAGGTATTTAGGACACAATGTGTAGATGTGCATATTACCAGGAAATTCCGATTCCTTTATTTTTTCCGGGAATTTCCGCACTTTTTAACTTAGGCATTTGGCCTTAACATGAACAGTTTGTCTGCGCAACTCCTCATAAACCGCTGCACAGAATTTCGTCAAACTTTGCAGATATTCAGGACACAATGTGTAGATGTGCAAATTACCAGGAAATTCCGATTCCATTATTTTTCCCGGGAATTTCCGCACATTTTAACTTAGGCATTTGGCCATACCTTGAATATACAGATGGACATTTTGTCAGCGCAACTCCTCATAAACCGCTGCACAGAATTTCGTCAAACTTTGCAGGTATTTAGGACACAATGTGTAGATGTGCATATTACCAGGAAATTCCGATTCCATTATTTTTTTCGGGAATTTCCGCACTTTTTAACTTAGGCATTTGGCCTTACCATGAACAGTTTGTCAGCGCAACTCCTCATAAACCGCTGCACAGAATTTCGTCAAACTTTGCAGATATTCAGGACACAATGTGTAGATGTGCATATTACCAGGAAATTCCGATTCCATTATTTTTCCCGGGAATTTCCGCACATTTTAACTTAGGCATTTGGCCATACCTTGAATATACAGATGACCATTTTGTCAGCGCAACTCCTCATAAACCGCTGCATAGAATTTTGTCAAACTTTGCAGGTATTTAGGACACAATGTGTAGATGTGCATATTACCAGGAAATTCCGATTCCGTTATTTTTCCCGGGAATTTCCGCACTTTTTAACTTAGGCATTTGGCCATACCTTGAATATAGAGATGAACATTTTGTCAGCGCAACTCCTCAAAAACTGCTGCACAGAATTTCGTCAAACTTTGCAGGTATTTAGGACACAATGTGTAGATGTGCATATTACCAGGAAATTCTGATTCCATTATTTTTCCCGGGAATTTCCGCACTTTTTAACTTAGGCATTTGGCCATACATTGTACCTTGAATATAGAGATGAACATTTTGTCAGCGCAACTCCTCATAAACCGCTGCACAGAATTTCGTCAAACTTTGCAGGTATTTAGGACACAATGTGTAGATGTGCATATTACCAGGAAATTCCGATTCCATTATTTTTTCTTAGGATTTCCACACTTTTTAACTTAGATTTTTGGCCATACCTTGAATATACAGATGAACATTTTGTCAGCGCGACCCCTCATAAACCGCTGCACAGAATTTCTTCAGACTTTGCAGATATTTAGGACACAATGTGTTGATGTGCATTTTACCAGGAAATTCCGATTCCTTTATTTTTCTGGGAATTTCGTCACTTTACAACTTAGATATTTGGAGATATCTTGAATATAGTGGTGAACAGTTTGTCAGCGCAACTCCTCATAAACTGCTGCACAGAATTTCATCAAACTTTGCAGATATTTAGGACACAATTTGTAGATGTGCATATTACCGGGAAATTCCGATTCTTTCATTTGTTCTGGGATTTTCAGCACTTTGAGTTTTGGGGGAGCGTGGGGTATGTGAGCTTGCTCACTTTTTCTTTCATTTTTTTTTATTGCAATTTAAATATATCTTATCTTTGCAGTAGTTTGTGCAAGGCACAAATGCAATCAAAGTTGTTTATCGGTCATTAGGTCATAATATTAATCTGAAATGAAACAAAACGTATCCCATCGGCCAGAGTATATAAGGCAACTCATCACAATTGCATGTATTTTCTTTTTTTAAATTTTAATAAAGAAAAGCTATGAAGATTACCTTTATTTTCATTTGACAAACCTGTCTCCAACATTAATATGTCTTTTATTCCAGATTGTTATTCACTGTCTGAAGGATCCTCAACGACCAGAGGTTGCTCTTCGAGTCAATACATCGCCTTCTCGGGGACTTGGTCTTGTGGTTCCTGTTCTGGTAGCGCGTCTGTGACCTCCAGAATGAACTCTCAGTGTGGGTACGGCTCCTCCTGTACGATACAAGCCAACAACGCCTGGCTTGGTGGAGACCCGTGTAAAGGGTGTGATAAAACACTGATATATTCCTACAGCTGCTCATGTAAGTACTCTTTAATAGATGTGATTTTTATAACCTTAAAATATGCAAAGCCAATGATTGCAAAACTAAATCAAAGCAATCAATCAAATCTGTAAACTAAGCAGATCTGAAAGATTCATAGAGACACTTGAGTAATTGTTTTTTTTTTTTTTCACTTTTGAATTTATATTTTTAATTGAAAAATACCTTCGCAAGTTCTACGGACGATACCTATTCAGCAATAACATTTTTTTTTAATTTCCACTCTTAGTTAAAAATATCTTTACAAGTTCTACGATTGATAGACCCTGTCAGCGAATGCAGATTAAGTTGAATGCTGACTTGGTATTTTAAAACAAAATGTTAGACCAAAAATTTAATCACCGAATTTTATCACTTTTTTCCGTTTGCCTTACTATAACAATGAGCCTAGGTTGGTATGACTGGTTGACTATGGGGATGCTTACTCCTCCATGGTATCTGATCCAACTTATGGTGTCAACAGATTGGTCTAATTTTGTCATGGTCCGATGAATTTGACACTTATCCCTCTTTGAACTTAAAAATGTATTTATAATGTGGACAGGAGATACAGGTCAAGTTAGACTTTGGTGCTGATTCGATGATTTTTTAATACTTATCCCCCCCCCCCCCCGAACTTGGAAAAGATTTTAAAATACACAAAGATGCTGATCGTTCAGTGTAGTCGAATTTATGATATTATAATAATAAAACTTTGAGCGTTGACCCCAACCTTTGTACCAGAGAGACGGAGCTAACTTCTTTTTTTTTCAAATGTGCACATCCACAAATAAGACCTTTCTGAATGCACAGGCTCTACTACTATGATTTTTGACCTCATGCCATAAAAATTGGGTCCTTTGTTTTACACTAAGATAGATAACATCAATAATTTTTTTTTTTTAAGTTTGATTTATAGACAAGACTGGACAATAAATTACAATATGCCGAAAATACATGAATTGCATCCAAACTAGAAAGACGTCAGGTTGTTGTTTAACATTTTTTCTCGAGAAATAGCAGAAGATCAATATTTTATGAATTTGCTTATTAATTAAGGAATAAATTTAATAGCTATCCAAGTTATAGTATATTACATTAGTTTGGGCAGTTTACGCTTTACAAACCACGAAGCGGTTTTAAAAAAGCGTAAGCAGCTCCAACCTGGGTTATACCACTCCAACCTAGGTTATACAAGTATAACTTGGGTAACTGTTAAAGTAATTCCCTATAATTTAATTTTCAATCATTAAATGTACAAAAGACTTTCTCTTTCAAAATTGCCTTTAAATTGTACATGTATATTATAATTGTTAAGTCAAGCGAATTGATCCGTTTTTGACGGAGGTAATTGTGACGTAGGCTACCCAGGTTATATGATGTTGAGTGAATTTTTTATCCAACCGAATAACTCGTTACAACCAAAATTGAATTGTTTCTCATCCACAAATGATATTTTTAGCTATCTGGGGAAATTGGCAGTCATGGTCATCATGTCCATCTGATTGCATTTCACAAAACTTACAGAGGACCAGACAGTGTCAAAGGCCTACAGGGAGCTGCTGGGGGACTACTCCTTCACAAACCATACCTTGCCTCCTGGACGGCTGCACATGTGAGTATAAAGAAAAGGGAGGGGCAGGGATGAGCCGAGTCATACATATATGCCTACATAAGCGTAAAATCATTCATTTTTCGCACATTTTCCTTTATGTTGAATTTATTTATTGCATACAACCATTTGCATCCAAAATTGACAAAACCTGAATACTATTACAGCAAATTCGATTTCAATTAACTCATCATAATGGCATCACGCTCAATTTCCACCAAAACTGACGTAAATTGGATGCTTTAATTTTTGTTAAATAAAGTTGGTCATTGTACCATTTTCTCAGAACAATTAATGAAGGCAATTGAAATGAAAAGGTAGAAATGCAATGAAAAGGTAGAAATCATAAGGATCACTTCACTTCATTATAGATAGGGATTTGACCTATAGGACCGGGCTTGGTTTTTTTCTCTACAAAAACCTTGTCGATTTCCGTTCTGATTAATGGCATTAGGCTGAATACATATAACAATTTGTTTTTCCTAAATCTTTATTTCAGCGAGTAGAGATAGGAGAAACCCTTTCATTGATTTCCTGAGTTTGTTATCTCAAAATGTAATAATTGATATTTGTCTTAACTTCTCAATGTGCATAATGGTAATGTTTACTCTTCTGAAATTCTATTCTTTATGTCTAGGCTATTTAATCCGTGAATATAAGAAAACATGCCATTGGTGTGTGCAAATTATATAGGCCTAAATCAAATATCAAGAATGGGCATGCATAAAGAATATATATAATTGAAGGAAAATACACAAGTCTATAAAAAAAATATTAAAATAGTATTTGAAAGGGCGAAAATTTAAAACTTTACAAGTGTGGTACCAGATTATGAAAATCGGCTTTCCTTATTTTTTGTAGGTTTTGTGTGAATTTCGACCCTAGGGCAGGGGTACCCCCAAAAAAATCCTATCGTAAATTATTCCTTGCACCCAAACCTATCAAAATATCACAATTTTATTTAGGGGCAGGCCTGCATATGTATGAGAACATGATTTAGAAAAATTATGACCTATTGGAAAAAATATTAGAAACTGGTTATGAATGTATATCGCGTTGCGAGTAAAAAAAAATGCTAGTCATTTAAAAATTTCCTGGCCCAAAGACCACAAGCTGAGAACATACTTAAGTCAAAATTTTAATTTTTTAAAAAACATTTTCAGTTTCATTCATTGTATTAGCTTAAAAAGTTCAATCGTGCAAAACATTTCAATTCAAACATATGATTTTTTTTTTTTATTATTTTATTTTATTATATCAAAATTATATCGAAAGTTATATAGATTTGATATTTTGACTTAAGTCTGTTCTCCATTTATGGTCTATAGGCATGAACAGTGAAAAAAAAGAAAACATCAGTATTAAAAGAAAAGGATGTACACGAAAATAGTTACAATAGCCTTACTGAAAAGTCATCACTCTATAACAAATGTCACTTTGTAAATTTAATGATAATTTAGTACATGTCACATCACGAAGTAAATGTTCAATATAGCTGGATCAAACGTTTAAAAGAAAAACGCAAATAAAAAAAATCAGATGCATGTATACGAATCTAATGGATGCATACAAAGTTGTGCAAGAGCAAAGTAATAGTAATAAGCATATCTGGTTCACATAGTGTAATCTAATAAATGGTTTTTTTTTTTTAAAAAAGGTAGAAACATGTCCACAGGACATGCATTGCCCACACAGGGTTCATTTGATAATTATTAATGAAACATGAAAATATGAATAAAGTTTTGTAAACATCCTTAAAACAGGTTAGTACATCAGGAGGTGGTATGTAAAGTTCAGTTTCTGATATAATACAATGTACCATTATCTTTCGGAATCTTTGTACATGCAAATATTTGGTCGTTTATTATGTATATACTTTAAAAATACATGTGTTGAAATAGCAGGAGAACAAATAAGACTGAATCAAGAAAAGTCCCACAAATCAGGCAGATATGTTTCCTATTCAGGGTATTTAATACAAAAACTCTGAAATGAGATATTTGTACAGATCTGAGTTCGGTATTAAAAGATATGAATGTTAACATATGTTTTTGAAACTTGATGATATTAAATAGGATTTTTTGGCAATGTCAGGTTCTAGTAACTAGTAGGTACTCTTTATTTCACGGTCCAAAATTTTGAAAAACTACTATCTTGCAGTGTTAATATGGAAAAAGTATTCATTCTCCGTCAGTCTTCACCAAAAGTTTTCCAACAAAACCACTGCCAGAACTAGCCTCTGTGTAGGATAGGCCATGATGTACATATATTTCCTCTTAACTTCCTTCTGTAACATCTCTCTTTGATGCAACATTCACAAGGGATTGAAATTAACTATTTTGTCTACTAGCAAATTTTAGCTTGGATTTTTTTTACTAGCAATATTAAACTTTAACTAGCATTTTTTCCCATAGAAATACGTTGAATAATTTCATATTAAAACTAATTTTCTATTTTTAATTATTTCAAATTGACATAGCAAAAGCATAAAGCTAAATTCACAGTAATCAGAGAGTCTGATTCAGGTCACTTGTGAGGACCATATGGAACCAATTTGTTCTCCGAAATCTCTGTCCAGAGATGCACAACCTATTTAATATACATTTCGTGGTTAGAAGGTGGACAATCCATCAGGACTGTCACCAATCATTTCAATCAAACAAGAGGCCTACGGGCCTTATAGGTCACCTGAGAACCATGTAACAACTTTCCAACAATTAAATTTGGTTCGTGTTTTAAACCAGAGGCCATGATTTAAATTCACAAGTTTGAAAGAGGCACCATTGTTTATCATAATTATACACTTAGAATGCTTACTCTAGATACCTAGTACCCAAAGGTTGATCAGAATAACAAAGAGAAAATGCACTTCCGCTTTATAACCAGTTGTGCACCCCACCCCACAGGAACCGCTGGGGCCACATATTTCAAATTTTGGAAATTTTATCATAAATTTCATTTCATCATAAATGGTTGATTAATACCAAAGAGCAGATTTCAAAGCATTAATTTATTTTCAAACTATGTAATACCCCACGCCCACCCACCCCACCCCTGACCCTGGGGGCATGAAAGTAATCATTTTGCTAGATGCTAGATGCACCTTTCTTCATCATAAATATATATACATATATAATTGGCATAATACCTAGGAGCAAAGGAAAAGATTTTCTAAGAATTAATATATTTTTACTATATAATCAAAAGAGCCCCTCTTACACCAAATGGCAAAACTCCTGACCCAGGGGCCATAAAATTCACAAATTTGGTTGAAGCACTCTTGCTCATGATAACTATGTACTTAGTTTATTTAATACCCAGGAGCAGAGAAGAAGATTTGCTAAGAATAAATGACTTTTCACTATATAATCAATTGAGCCCCCCCCCCAACACCAGAACCCCTGACCCTGGGGCCATAAAATTCACAATTTTGGAAGAGGCACTCTTGCTCATCATAACTATGTACTTAGTTTATTTAATACCCAGAGAGGAAGATTTTCTAAGAATTAAATGTATTTTCACTATATAATCTATATAGCCCATCCCTAGCACTAGAACCCCTGACCCTGGAGCCATGAATTTCACAATTCTGGAAGAGGCACTCTTGCTCATCATAACTATGTACTTAGTTAATTTATGTAATACCCAGGAGCAGAGAAGATTTTCTAAGGATCAATGACTTTTCATTATATAATCCATAGAGCCCCGCCCTAACACTAGATCCCCTGACCCTGGGGCCATAAAATTCACAATTTAGAAAGAAGCACTCTTGCTCATACCCAGGATCAGAGAAGGAAGATTTTCTAAGAATTAATGTATTTTCACTATATAATCTATACAGCCCAGCCCTAGCACTAGAACCCCTGACCCTGGGGCCATGATTTTCACAATTTTGGAAGAGGCACCCTTGCTCATCATAACTATGTCCTTAGTTTATTTGATACCCAGGAGCAGAGAAGAAGATTTTCTAAGAAGAAATGACTTTTCATTATATAATTAATAGAGCCCCGCCCTAACACTAGAACCCCTGACCCTGGGGCCATAAAATTCACAATTTTGAAAGAGGAACTCTTGCTCTTCATAACTATGTACTTATTTTATTTAATACCCAGGAGCAAAGAAGAAAATTTTCTAAAAATTAATGTATTTTCATTGTAAAATCTATATAGCCCCGCCCTAGCACTAAAACCCCTGACCTTGGGGCCATAAATTTCACAATTTTGGTAGAGGACTCAATGCTCATTACATTCATGCCAACAGTTTGACTGCTTGATGTCCAGGAGTAAAGAAGAAAATTTTTAAAGATTGCACTAATTTTTGTGGTTTAGGCCCCACTCCCCAGGATCCAGGGGGGGGGGGCAGGGACCATGAAATTCAGAATTTTTGTTCCCCTTCACCCATAGATGCTGTATACCAAATTTGGTTGATATTGGTTAAGTGGTTTCAGAGAAGAAGCTGAAAATGTTCAAATGTTAACACACGGCGCGCGACGACGGACGAACACGGATAGCAATAGGTCACCTGAGTAACTCAGGTGACTTAATGAGACAATCAAAGTGTTGATTGACTCATTTGACAAACAGCATTTCCAACCGCTTTTTATGCGCTTCAGGGTTGAAGATCCTCGCTTACATGTTGCATTGGACAAGAGTAATAATGATACCAGGTTATAACTTTCCCAATATTTGGGAAATGCTGACACTGTTCATCCTCCTTCCAGATTCCGTGATAAACAGATAGTGGATGGCAGGCTTTAAAATGGTCATTTCTGTTTATATACACTTTCAGATACACCCATTCTTGTAGAATTTTTATCAAGATTTAATCTAGGAAGCAGAATCTGGAAATGGGCTACAATCTGTCGAATTTCTGTCACACCATACTGGACTAGGGCTGGTCTTCATAAAAATTACCAATTTCAACAACAAACTGTTTGGCTGCTATATCATTGCAATAACTTTTTACCACAAGTTTCAAACCATTAAGATGTTGAAATTTCAGAA